GTTCATTTCCGTTACAACCGACAGATTTTACGTGAATGCTCATATTGTGATAGCCACCAGGATCCTAGTGATGTCCTTGCGAATCGGGTAATCTATTATCATGCTTAAATATTTGTCAACAAATACCTATTTATAGCTATAGGCTGTCGGAAATAAGTGCCATGCGGTTTTGATTCTGATGAAATTTCGAAGCAGTGAGATTTGCGTCATCAGCTGACAGGCTGACAGCTGGCTGATCGAGTTCAATACCTTTTTCAGAGACTTATTCAATAAAAGCTAAACAATGGGTGACATAAATGACTTCTTTCGTGCAATGTTTGGCTTAGGCGGTAAACGACCACCAGACGGATACAATCGACCAGAGGAAGGATCATTTATCTTGTAAGTTTTCTAGAATGATTATTGTTACAGATACCAATAATAACAACCATTCTCACAATAATTTTAGAATGAAGTTATAAAAAGCAAACAATTTTATGGTTATTTAAATACCTTGTATACTAGCATGTTTCTGTTTCAGATCTTTCTAGTTGAGCTTTTATCACAGTTATATGAATCCTACTACTGGAAAAATATTTCATTTTCATTTCATGCTGCAACTAACATGTCATAATCAACCTGTTGGAGTTGCTCATAAACCAGGAGAAATAGAAATAACAATTTGTTATAATATGTAGGCTAGCAAAACTGGACTGGGTCAATCAGTAGATGAATTGGTAGAGCATACTTCTAGAGATCGGAGGGACCGGGGTTCGAATCTCGGTCTGGCACGACCTACAACATGGATTCTGCACATCAAGATCTTGAGAAACACAACTCATTACATTCGTACAACACCTCCCACAGAACCAAAACAACAACAACAAACAAACAGACATTGCCAAAGCCTTTTACAAAGTCTCGCACAAACACTTACAGTACAAACTAATATATTACGGCATCACCAGAACCACACTATCATGGATCACAGACTTCCTATCACAACGCACCCAAACAGTAGTACTTAAGGGCAAACACTCTGACAAAATCCAAGTAACATCAGGGCCCGTATTCATGAAACCGTTCTTGTGCTCAAGCATGGATTCTGTGCTCAAACCCAACCTTCTTGTTACTCACTGAAATCATGTCAAACGATCAAAAAGTCATGTTTAAACCTTGAAAACAGTATTCAGCTTTAAATCTCTTCAAATTTTTTCAAAATCATTGACAGAATAAGTTTTTCTTAATAATTTACAGCCAGAACAAGAAATTGGTGTTGAGCACAAAATCCATGCTTGAGCATGAGAACGGTTTCATGAATACGGGCCCTGTAGTGCCTCACGGAACCTGTTTGGGACCAGTCCACCTCCTCATGTACATCAACGATTTCCCTGAATACATGTATCACACAGTACACTAAGACTTTTTGCAGATGACAGCATACTCTACAAAACCATCAACAACAAAGATGTTACAATAAAACTACAAACAGATTTAGACACACAGTTAGTAAATAGGAAGAAGACTGGCTCATGAAATTCCACCCTGACAAATGTACCATACTCACTATCACCAAAACGCACCCAAATACACACTCCATGACCACACACTAGAATCTGTAACTTCAAACAAATATCTAGGCATCACACTTCAAAACAACTTAAAATGGGACAAACACATTAACAACATCACATCAAATGCAAATAAATCACTAGGCTTTCTGAAATGCAACCTAAAAATAAATTCACCACACATAAAAGACCAAAACTTGAATACTGCTCTTCATTTTGGGACTCTCATTATACAAATAACATAAATCAATTAGAAAAAGTACAACGAAGAGCAGCACAATATTTCCTAAACAAATACCATAACACAAGCTCAGTGACACCGATATGATACACAACTAACATTGACAACACTACAGACACACAGAACAAGAACACACATTATTCTTCTCTACAAAATAATACACCAACAAGTAGCAATACACACTAACAATCTCATCCCTGCAACACAGAACCTGTCAAGGACACAACCTTAGTTACATATCTACACATCCAAAGACATATACAGATACTCATTCTTTCCATACACCGTAATACTGTGCAACCTCCTACCCAAAACAATCATACAATCAGAAACATTAGCAAATTCAGGACATGCACCACATGTAACATAATCAAACATATACAAAACCTACAACATAACTAACACTCGCTGCTTTTAACATGTTTTTATCCTATAGCAAATAATATATAAAAAAAACACTGTACATAACGAGGCACTACAACACAAGACCACAATTCTGTAATCATCGTTATTGACCAAGGAAGGTTTAAAGATGAAGATGAAGTATATACACATACACTTAGTTATACTACAGTAGATATCTTCTCAATAGACAATTCAAAACAGAATCAAAAAGACATGGTCCTGCGCTTATGATCAGATATTTACAAAGCTTTAAATTACACCTTGATCACAATGTAGTTCGTACCAGATGCTCATGAAATTAGTCACTGATTATTTGATCTTTCAGGTCAATTAGTACACGTACTGCATTTATGTGCCATATAATGCATATTCAAACCTATGCATATGAGTGCATGTATGGTAACTTGCCGGATGACACAGGAAAACAAGCTATGAATATATCTGTTAATAACCTTTAAAAATAACAGAAAAAAACATGTTAGCTGGTAAGTTACTCCTAGTAATTGGAACCTAGTGCTGTATATTTTTCTCAGATTCTAAATGTTCATGGTTTTGAGATATATATTTACCAAATACTTTTAATTGTAGATTTAATTTTATGATAGGCCTAATAGAAATTAAATGTGAAAGTATAACCTTAAACTATCATTTGATAATTAATCTGACACTCTGTTTGACAGCGTTGACACTGATAATGAAGATGATGAAGTTCCTTGGGGCGATGGACGATCTGGACATTTGTTTGGAGGGAACGTACTCTCACATTTTATGCGGGATATGGAACAGATGAACAGAGAAATGGCCAATATGTTTCAAAGTTTTGAAATAGGATTTCCTTCAGGTTTGTAAATATCAGGATGATTTGAATAAAATGAAAAGTTTAATTTATATTAGTATAGTACTTGATTGTACTGTGTATTACTGCAAAACAACAGCTAACTATATATAGGTCATATGATGATGGCCAGGCAATGTGCCATTATACAGGTAGTTTTTGATTATTATTATTTTTTAAGATATTCTGTCAAGATTTTTTTTTTCCAATGCAGGATGAAAGATGCTAAACAGTTTTTAGCTCACCTGGCACTTTGTGCCAAGTGAGCTTATGCCGTGGCGCGGCGTCCGACGGTCCGGCGTCCGGCGTCAATATTTAACTTTAAACGGCTTCTTCTTAATAACCGAAAGGCCTAGGGTGTCGATATTTGGCCAGAAGCAAACTTAGATGAAGGGCTACAAAGTTTGTTTAAATGAATGACCTTCCCCTATTTTCAAGGTCACCGGGGTCAAATATGTCAAAAACTTTAAACATCTTCTTCTCAATAACCAAAAGGCACAGGTTGATGATATTTGTCCAGTAGCATGCTGGGTAAAGGGCTATCAAGTTTGTTCAAATGCATGACCTTCACCCATATTCAGGGACACAGGGAACAAATATGGTGAAAACTTTAAACAACTTCTCCTGAATAACCAAAATGCCTAGGGAGATGATATTTGGCCAGTAGCAAGCTGAGATGAAGGGCTACACAATTTGTTCAAATGAATGGCCTTCTCCTATTTTCAAGGTCACAGGGGGCAAATATGTTCAAAAGATTTCAACAACTTGTTCTGAATAACCAAAATGCCCGGGGGGATGATATTTGGCCAGGAGCTAGCTGAGATGAAGGGCTATAAAGTTTGTTAAAATGAATGACCTTCCCCTATTTTCAAGGTCACAGGGGTCAAATATGTCAAAAACTTTAAACATCTTCTTCTGAATAACCAAAATGCACAGGGTGATGATATTGGGACAGTAGCATGCTGGGATAAAGGGCTACAAAGTCTTTTTAAATGAATGACCTTCCCCTATTTTCAAGGTCCCAGGGGTCAAATATGGTCAAAATATTTCAACAACTTGTTCTGAATAACCAAAAGGCTCAGGATGTTGATATTTAGTTAGTAGCATATGCTGGGATTAAGGACTACTTTGTTTATTAAAGGGGTCAAATATGTTAAAAACTTTAAACAACTTCTTCTGAATAACCAAAATGCACAGGGTGATGATATTTGGCCAGGAGCTAGCTGAGATGAAGGGCTACCAAGTTTGTTCAAATGCATGACCTTCACCCATATTCAAGGCAACAGTGGTAAAATATGTTAAAACCTTTAAACAACTTCTCCTGAATAACCAAAATGCACAGGGTGATGATATTGGGACAGTAGCATGCTGGGATAAAGGGCTACAAAGTTTGTTTAAATGAATGACCTTCACACATATTCAAGATAACAGGGGGCAAATATGTTCAAAATATTTGAACAACTTGTTCTGAATAACCAAAAGGCTCAGGATGTTGATATTTAGTCAGTAGCATATTCTGGGATTAAGGACTACTTTGTTTATTAAAGGGGTCAAATATGTCAAAAACTTTAAACAACTTCTCCTGAATAACCAAAATGCACAGGGTGATGATATTTCGCCAGTAGCTAGCTGAGATGAAGGGCTACACAATTTGTTCAAATGAATGGCCTTCTCCTATTTTCAAGGTCACCGGGGTCAAATATGTCAAAAACTTTAAACATCTTCTTCTCAATAACCAAAAGGCACAGGTTGATGATATTTGTCCAGTAGCATGCTGGGATAAAGGGCTACAAAGTTTGTTAAAATGAATGACCTTCACCCATATTCAAGATAACAGGGGTCAAATATGTTCAAAATATTTCAACAACTTGTTCTGAATAACCAAAAGGCTCAGGATGTTGATATTTAGTCAGTAGCATATGCTGGGATTAAGGACTACTTTGTTTATTAAAGTGAATGACTTTGACTTATATTCAAGGTCACAGAGGGCAAATTTGTTTAAAATCTTTAAACAACCTCTTCTGAATAACCATGGGTCCCAGAATGTTTATGCTTTGCAAGTTGCATCCTGAGATGAAAGGCTATACAATGTGTTCAACATAATGACTTTGTTCGACTTTCAATCACAGGGGTGAAATGTTTAAAAAAAAATTACAGGGTCTTTTGAATGAATTTTAATCATAAATACTGATATTTTGCCTGTTATTTTAGATCACTTTTAAGGTTACAAGTGTGAGTTTTATACCAGGTGAGCAATGCAGGCCCATTGGGCCTATTGTTAAAAACATTAATATCTATTGAATTGAATTTTTTTTTCTGATCAATTTTCACACAATAAAACTACATAAAAGATATACATGTATTATGTGTATGTAAATGACAAGTTATTTAATACAGAACATTCAGGAAACCCACAGCTCCCATCAAATCCACGAGATGATATGCTTAAAAAGCCAGACTCCACTCCAGAGGAAAGTGGCAATGATAGAGGACCACCTGATCCTGGACAAAGAGCAATGGGCCCTGGCTTTCAACGACCAGCTCCTTTTGTAAGAAATTAGAAGAAAACAGTTTTCAATATGAAAGTAAAACTATTAACACTGATTGTTGTGAATCATAAGTGTGCTGTATATTTTCGTAAGCACTGCCATTAATCAAACCTTCAAAATAGTTTTCATCAGCAAACCTTTTTTTCCATCCACACTTAGAGCATTGTTTTTCTGTGATGTCAAGCAAGTGCCTAAATTTGTATATGAGTGGTGAGTAGCATCTTTTGTACACAGAGAAAGGGAAATGGCATCCTTTAGACACTGGGCCTAAATCCACCCTTTTTAGGTCACCTGAGCTTTGCTCAAGTGACCTATTCCAATCACTTTACGTCCGTCGTCGTCCATCGTGCGTAAACTTTTTACATTAACAACTTCTTCTCAAGAACCAGTGGATGAGATTATTTCAAACTTGGTCAGAATCATCCTTGGTAGATGAGGCTACCAAATTGTAAAATTGGGATTCCTATCCCAACCCTAGGGGCCAGGGCGGGGCTCAAAAGGGAAAATTAACCAATATTTCAAAAATCTTCTTCTCCAGACTCAGAGGTATTACAGTCATTTTCTCTGCATGGATGGAAAGATCATCAGGGGCTTTATTTAAATTGTAAATTTCAGGACCCCAGAGCTATCTGTTCTCCCTTGGGGAGGGGGTAAAGTTTACTATAGTTTATATAGGGAAACAACA